AGAGCACCTCTTGGTTTCCTGTCACGGTGGACCCGTCCTCAAGGCCTATTGACCTGCTGAAGGCTTACAGAGGAGTGACCCAGGGTATTCTGTCAAGGCTTTGGCTAGTTAGATCCCCAAGGCCCAGCACTATCTAGAAGGCCACAGCTCCCACGGTACCTGCTCCCCTCATTCCCCGGCCGGGGCCACTGGGAGTGCAGGCAAAGCCCTTCACCAAGCGGCCTCGTTATGCTGGGGACGAAGCTGGACCACATCCCCAGCCTCCTCTGCATCTGGGAGCGGCCAAGGCTGAGCCTGAGTCCAGGGCTTGGAGCAGGAGTCTGGCCAGGTGTGTGCACCTGCCATTTGCAAGTTCTCTGTTCTCTGAGCCTGGCTCAAAGCAGGGTACAACCAGCCCCTCTAAGACCCCAGAATCCTGGTATTGAAGAGTGGTCAGGGGACCACTTCCCACTTCCAGCATATGAAAGAAAAGCCTCCTCTTAGTTGAACTAGTGAAGTGCCAGCTCCCTCTGTTCCGGCAGCTGTCGTCACCCTAATGCACGTGGATGGAGACCTACGTCTGAGCATTTTAAAAACGGGTGTGCAAGTAGTTCAAGACATTTTCAGAAAATTGCCAAGAAACCCGTGTGCTCAATTGCATTTCTACATTTCCCCTCCAAACCAACCCATGCCTAAGGAAGGAGTAATACGGCTTTGTGGATCCTTCAATAATCATTTCCATATGAGATTTCTAAGACTTAAGTCAGCAGTTGCATAAAGTCCTTGACACCCAAAGAAGAAAGCCGTCCTCCCGGGGCCATTTCTGAGCTTCCCCTTCTGTGCTGACCTCGCTGCTGTCGCACCGGCTGCTGGACGGCTGCCTATGGGGCTGCAGGTCCTCCCCCCCCCCCGCAGCCCCCAGTGTGCTGTTCCCGAGGCCCCCTCCACTCCTGCCTCACTGCTGCCCGACCCTCCATCCCCGGCTTCCTGAGGAGCTGGCTCCCCTCACCACCACTGCAGATCCCAGTGGGGACATGGCTGCGTCCTGGAACGTCGCTTTCTCCTTCGCCCAGAGAGTGGTGGGCATCGTCTGGGAAGAGCTCGCTCCACCAGGGCTCGGCTCCCACCCATGTCGCACCTGCCTTGAGCTCTCGGCCCTCTGTGAGGAGAGGGGGCTGGGCCTGTCCCCAGGCCAGGGATGGCCCTGCACCCCAAGTCCCGCTCTCCCTGCCCTCAGGAAGTGGCTCTGTTTTGCTGCTTCTCAGCACAGAAGTTTCCAGCACTCGGGTTCATCAAGCAAGTGTCTGTGGTCCCTCCCTGTGAGGCTGGCGCTGGCCCACGACATACAGTGGCTGGCAGGAGAGTCTTGACCCAGCAGCCCGGAGCCAGATGGGGCTGCAGATGCACACACTGACCTCTGTGACACCAACTGGAGACCCTGACCTCCTCCCTCCCCTTCCTAGACGTCAGGCCACTTGGAAAGCCATCTACACTGGCAGGCTGTACGTCGACACTCCAGGTCTCTCCCAGCCTGACCCCTGCCCATCCCGCCCTGACTACACAGACAAACTCTCCTCTCCGTGGCACCTGTTTTGGTCCATTTTCTTGCTCTTACAGAATCCTGAGATGGCACCACCATTTATAAAAATAGAGCATTACTCAGCTGACAGTTCTGGGGGCTGGAGTGTCCAAGATGGCTCCAGCGCCCAGGGAGGGCCTTGCCGCCACATGGCAAGGCAGGACAAGCAAGCTGGCTCAGAGGGCTCTTCTTCTTATAGAGCCACACATGCCACCACAGGGGCCCCACCCACCTGACTCACCTAATCCCAGTTACCTGCCGGTGCCTCCTCCAAACACCACCAACGTCTGAGCACTGAGATCAAGTGTCCAACCCACCGGCTTTGGGGACACGTCAAACCACGCAGTGGCTGAGCTCTACCCCCAAGGGTGGTCCACCACTTCCACCTTCCCTGACCTCCTGACTGCCCTGGCCTGGCGTCCTCTCCTCCTTGACAAGCCCCTTGTGGGCATCACCTGCCATCCCTCAGTCCCTTTCTGCCTGTCCACTCCTTCGAGGTCCCCTGAATGGCCTCGTCGGGGAGGCCACGGCCAGCGCTCACCCTCAGATGCCTGTGCCGACTGTCCAGGACAGGAATGGACGTTCTCCATCACCACTCCTGGCCATCCTGGGTGGCCTCTGGCTGGAGTGGCACCACCCTGATCTCTGCCCCTGACTTTGCACAGCCTGCTCCTGTGTGCCGGGGTCCAAATGCCTCTCCCCACGCAGACCCCGTCAGCAGACCCCGTCACTCCAACCCCTCGCGACTTCGTGTTAACTCGCTCACATCCGTCAAGATCCTAGGCAGCCACACTCACAGGTGCTGGGACCAGGCCTCTGGCAAGACTCCTAGAGACACACTTCCAGCCTCCACAGAGTCCGTGTGCTAGACCCTCGGCAGGGCTTTCCTGTGCGTTGCTTTGCATTTTCCTTGTAACATCCCATGAGGTCAGAATCCCACTTACCAGTGACAAGGCCGAGACTGCCCAAGGTCACGCAGCTCCCACACTACAGAAGATGCTCTCAGATTGAAGTCTGCCTAACCTCCAAAACCTAGCTCTCAGCCATGAAGGCGATGCTGAAGTCAAACATTGCAAATCATTGCGGCCTGGCTAGAATCCATTTCTTGGTCAAGAGACAGGTCAGTCTGGAATCAAGCCCAGAAGGGTGTCAGCAAAGGCTCGTGGAGGAGGAGGAGCCCAGCCTGTGAAGGCCAAGGGTGTTTAGATGACCGTCCACGGGGGAGGGCCTCCAGAGGCCACGCCTCCACCCCACCCCGGCTCCCACTCTGTGATTGCAGCCTCCACCTCACCCTAGTGTGGTGCCCTGTGGATGAAGGCCCTGCCCCTCTACCTGGGCCCCACCCCTCCCCACATCCCTCCTGGTCCAGGACACTCAGCGCATTGGTGGACTCTGCCTATGCTGGTGTTCTGCTGACCGGATTGTAAAGTTTACTAAACTAATTAATCACAACAGATGACTTAGAGTGACAGGTTAGAGGTGACATTCTCCAAAATCTCCAATTTGGTATGAGTGTGCTTATTTTTTTAATCCCCACAGCAATTTATTTTCTGTGTAATGAAGTTTCTCCAGGAGTGTCCCAAAATGTAGTCAAGGTTAACCGTGCTGTGAGCCTATTCAATATTTATGATTCTTTTTATTTGTATTACTAGGACTTTTTGGGGACTGCAAAGGTCCATTAATCAAACAGAGTGACAAAATGAGCCGTTTGACAATTGGAACAGGGGCTGAATATTATGGTGATCATGTAGACACATATTTTTGGTCCAGGGATCAAAAAGGAAACTGAAACTTCATCAAGGTTCCTGACTGATTGTTACCAGGCGTCATCTGTACATTTCCCTTCGTCTAACAATCCTCCCAGACGGTCTTCCCGCGTCCCCAGCAAGTTGGCCTCTCTGAGGGCTGAGTTCCTGGGGAGGAAGCGGCGACACAGACAGCTCAACTGTGCCGAGACGCAGTGGACAGTCTTGACGGAGCTGACAGCTCCGAAATACAATTATCAGTGTGATCTGCTTAAGAATGCATCCGAGGCTCCTGCCTCTGAAGACTGGGACGCGGCGACACACAAAGAGAAAGAGGTGATAAGGAGGCATCATTTTCCTCCAGCCTCATAACTGTAAATTGAAGAAAATTATTTTCTTTGCCTGCAGCTCATTGGCATATAGGCAGCATTATATTATAATTTCATAAGCATAAATCCTTTGAATAAATTTCAGAAGAATAACTGAATTAGAAATGCAAGTGAAGTATCTAAAAAACTCAACTGTGCGAGGCAGGGGGAAGGCGTGAGAAGCAGGGAGAGAGCAGAGCCCGCTGGGCCCCTCCCGGGGGTCCAGAGCCAGGACCCGCAGGTGAGGGAGCTGGCCACTTTTAACCCTCTGTGTCCGATGTTGAACAAAACAGCTCCCCGCCTTCCCTCTGCCCGTTCCAAGGAATTTGAGTCGTAATTCATCATAAATTAATTTTGGAGGAACAACAGGCTTGGGGCACGTTATAATTATTGTTATTTGTTTATTTATTATCATGTTAACCATTATTTATTATAATGTGGCACATATGGAGACCACAAAGGTTCTCCCTGCAGTTTCCTAGCAACATGTCCGTCCGCGAGTTCTTCACACACGTGACCAGCGCTCGACTCCACCCAGGGTGGGCCACGGGAGGTGGAGGCCGGTGGGTGTCCCCTGCCCCTGAGCTGTCCTGAAGGGACCCAGTGTGATGCTGTCAGGGTGAAGTCTGTCTGGCACTGAGGGAAGGTTCGTTCACTCTGCACAGAAGGCCGCTTGCCAACAGAGACCACTTCAAAGCCGGGGAGACAGGGCCTGGCTGGGGTTCAACAGGCCTTCCCCCCAGAGCCCTTCTGGGTACTGAGGGCAGCTGGCCCCCAGACGCCCTCCTCCCAGCCAAGCTGACTAGGGAGGAGGGGTGGAGGGCGGGGGAGCCTCCCACACAGCCCCTCCCCAGCTCTGGGGCCACAGTTAGCCTGGTCACCATGTTCCTCTGCCTGGTGGCCTTCTTCCCCTCCTGGGGGCAGCCGATCCCAGCCCCAGCTGTCTTCCAGGGCCCACCCCCTGCACACCCAGGCTGGAGGACAGAGTCCTGAGTTCAACTGGTCCACACAGGACAACCGGTCAGGAGGACAGATGCCCACCTGCAGAGTCTTGGCGCCACGGCCACACTGCAAAGACACTGGATTTCACTCCTGCCTGGGAAACGTTCTCAGGGTCACGTCCGGGAACTGGATAGGAGCCGTCTCCTTTCCCAGCATCCACCTGAGCCCTCTAGACCTCTCCCATGATTCTTCCCTTCCTGGGACAGTGGCCTGGTGATGTGCCATACCTCTCTCATGACACGGACGCGTCACAGTCTCCACGGTGGGGTCCCCCACCTTCCCACCCACCACCACTGGAATTCCCCTAATGGATTTTTGTTTGCACTAAACTTTTATTTTTAAACTAATTAAATTGACAGAGAAATTGCACAGACAGTGGGAGTCCCCACACCCAGTTCCCCTCTATTCCCACCTCATTTTCCTGTGAATTCACGGAGAAGCCTGGAGGCCCTGCCACCAGCTGAAGCCCCGCTTCCTCTGGATTGCCTCCGCTCCTGCCGAAGCCCATTTTCTGTCCCAGGCCCCATCCCGGGCACTGGGCTACTTTGAGCACCCAGGGTCCCTCTGGCTATTATGCTTTCTCAGGCTGCTTGGCCACCTTGACGACTCAGAAGACCACCAGGAACACTGTAGAATACGCTTCCCTTGGAGTGGGGAGGCTCTCTCGTGCTGGCCTGCACTTGCGTTTTGGAGCCATCCACAGAGGTCAGTACCGCACGTGGAGGGTGCATACCGCAGCGCGACCAACAGCGCTGCTGCTGACCTTCCCCTCCACCTGAGCAGACCTGTCAGGCTTCTCCAGTTCCGGAACCCTCCCTCCCTTTCTGAAGCTTTACTCTTTGGAAGGAAGTCCTTGGGAGCAGCCTGTGCTGATGGAGTGGGCACCTCGGTTCGACCTTCAAGGGTGAAGCATGCACATACATTATCTGGAATTCTATGTGAGAGATTTGTCTTTTCCTCATTTAATTGCTTATACATCTCCAAGGAGAACTATTTGGCACTTTCAGATGTATCCCAATACTTCTTGGACCTAGCTTCATCCGCTGTGCCCTTTCTCATCCCTGCCACGGTGGTGTGTGGGTTTCTTTAAGCACTTGCTTACCTCCTGCTGGGAGATGTTCCAGGCTCATCTCATGGACCTCCTGCCCCAGTCCCAGAACCCGCCATTTCTCCACAGAACTGACTGCTTCCATTAAAGGTGGGATTAGCTACCACATCTTGGGTGCTCAGGGTGCCCATGGCTACTGGGGCTGGGAACTTTTTAATATCTGCATATTTAGGTGGTGACTCAGTCCCCCCCAGGTAGACCGTAAGCATCAGTATCTTCTAAATCTTAGTCTGTGTCAAGACCTCTCTGTGTTGATGTTTGGTAGTGTGTGTTTGTAGCATAGAATAAAGGTATTACATTACGTAACACAATCTGAATTTAAAATAAATCGAGTAGTAAAAGAAATTGCTATAACACAGGAACCATGTCTTAGGCACTTGAAGAGATAGAGAGGTCCCAAGATCTGGCCTCCCCTTCTTTCTGACCACAAATCAGACTACAGCTCCCAGCTTCCTTGTGGCAGCCATAGTCAGAGGCTGGTTCTCCAGATGGAGGTGAGAGCAAGTGGGCAGGGTGCGTGTCTGGTCTGGGTCTTAACCTGAGCCCCTGCTCTGCACGTTCGCTGACTCAGGACTGCACACATTAGGAGAAAACTCCAGTTGATCATCAGCCACTCTGGCCTGCAGGCCACACTGAGGAATGAGTGTCCTCTCTCCCGAGAGGCGGAGTGCTACCTTGGAAGACGGTGCAGGCCACTGCTGCTTCCCCATCAAGAGGGAAGGCTGAGAGGACACTGGGGTGGTTTGTAGAGCCCAGGGGCCAGCCTGGTCCTGGCAGTGGGGCAGTTCAGCAAACCTCAGCAGAACTGTGGACAGGCCACCGAAGTGATGTGTCTCCACCGGGGCCCTGTCCCATGCCTATTCATAGGAGAAAGCACCCAGCCACCTCCCAGTAAGTCATCCACATCCCAAAGGGCAAGGGCAGAGGAAGGATGGGCTCCTGGGTGAATCGCGGTCAGCTGAGAAGCCCCCAGTAGGTGTCTACATAATGAATTATCGGTCACGTCCTTAAAAGGGCTATGAAGCACTTGCACTAACAACGATCACTGTGTATTGAGCAAAGCTACACTGGAGACCCTTCACAGTGCCATCCCTTAGCCTTGCAGACATGGATGGGGTCGGCACAGGCAGACCACAGAGCAGAATGGTACACAGGGGAGCCCAGGCCCAGGCCACCGGAGCACTTCCCAGAGCCAGGACCAGAGCATTGTCCTGCTCTGGAACCCAGGCTCCTGGAAGGTTCCTCTGCCACAGTCATCCCTGGCGAGGCCTCAGAGCTCAGGGAGGTCAGCCGCCCTGTCTGGTCCAGAGCAGCAGCACCCCAGGGCCATCTGCCGCACTTCCCAGGGCAGCTCCCTGATGCTCACTGCCCCTGGGCCACGCCGTGTCCACCAGTGCTGGAGCCTGCGGGGCAAGGTGGGAAGGCCTCGGCCTGGCCCCACGGGCTCCTCCTGGAACTCCCTGCAGGCCCCCGCTGCCCATTCCCGGTGGTCCTGGCCGTGTTTGGCTTCACCTGGTAGCATCTGAGTTCAGCTGTGACTGCTACCAGCCTCTGCTGTGTGCCCTTCCCATGAGGACTCGTCTCCCTCTCAGGTCAGGGGCTGCTCCGGGTCGCTGCTGGTTGAGCTGATTGGCCATCCTGCCCTGAGTCCCTCCAGATGTCGCCTGTCCCACAGAAGGAGGCAAGGAGAGTCTGCTGCACCCTCAGTCCTCAGGGGGTGCAGGCAGAGGTGTGGCAGCGCTAGCCAGTTCCCAATCCTCTGGCTCCTCTAAGGGTGGGGCAGCCCGAAGGCTGACTTTGCCCAAGGCCATGCAGTGAATAGAAGGGCCCTGACCTGGGGGCTTCAGAGCTGGCTGTTCCCCACACCCCTGGGGGCCCTTCCTCCCGACTGAGCTTTCCCCAAGCCTAGCGGGACTGGGGCTGGGGACTCCATGGGACTGCAGGCAGCGCTCTTGCTATCTCTTGTGTGGACGGGTAATGGGAAGAAGTAAAGGCTGTGGTTGGCCCCTGGGACTTTGGGGCTATTTGTTGCCACTGCGCACCCCAACGATGTGGACTGCTGCAGTCACACTCTGCCTTCTCAGAGCAGGCGGACTCTTGCTGTGGGCGGAAAGCAGGTCCATGAAGACCAGGTTGAACAACCGAGTGTGGTGACAAATCGTGTCCTCCAGCCTCAGCTCCAGGTACAGTAGCATTCTGAGCAAATGTGTCCGTGCACCCAGGCATAAAGTGTGGACTTCCCTTGGAAGCAATTTTTCTTGCTCCTGTGAAAGCTGTTAATTTTTCTCGTTGGAGGCAGGCCAGTCGGCTCCATTCACGCGGCATCCATGCTGAATTCGTCTAGCGTTGCTTCCTGAAGCCACCTAAGGTGCCTCCCAGAGACTGGGTATTTTCTCTTAATGAAAAGATAGTCAGGCAAGGGGGAGAAATACCTTTCCTTTCTTTCTTCCTTTCTCTTTCTTCTCTAAAAAACTCAGGATGATGTTGTGATTAACTTGCCTTTTGCAGCACAGTGGATATGACAGTCAACCAAATTAATCCCATTATGCAAAACCCAGTTCACAAATGGGTTTGCATTTTTGCAAAATTATGTCAATTTCCCCATAAATTGGAGAGACTGTGTCAGTTTTCTGAACTGCACAGAGATGCTACCCCGTGCTGTATGTCTATATCCCTCGAATTCAGAAAGATACAGATTTTAGCTCCGTGGCACAAATTAGGATTCATAACTTTAATGCTGATATTTTTTTTTTTGTTTACGTGAGACTTGCATAAGAATTACCATTTGTTTTCAGATTCATTTACAATCTTCTGCACCATTCTCATCATGGTGGGGAAGAAAAGAGCATTCAGAGCTTGGGAAAACTGGTTAAAACAAAATCCTTAATTATTTTGATATTAAGAACATGATTCATTCTTTCTTTTCTCTTCTTAAACACTCAGCAAGGCTCCTGCAGCCCTCGCTTGAGTCTCTGCCTCTCTGTCTGTATTCAAGTGGTTGGACAGCAGAGACGGTTTTCCAACTGCCATCTCTTGGCCAGCAGCAGACAGGCTGTTGGTGGCCAAATCTGCTTGGCATTGACTATGATCTGTGAATTCCCTGTAACTGGACCAACTTGTCAAATTAAACCCACTCCTGCTTTGAGCTGCAGAGCAGCTGGGATCTGGAAGGCTCTGCACTCTGACCCGGTCAGCAGCCCCTTGGAGCCTCACATCTGCTCAATGGACGCTGCTTTTCACCTGGCTCATTTCTAATGCAGCAGCCCCTCCTTCTGAGCTGAACATCGCCTCTCTCTGTCTCTCTGTCTTGTAAAGGGAGAAAGAAAAAGCTTCCTTGTTTTGAAGGCTGGCGCTCCAAGGGCTAAATTACTTACTGAATTCAGAAAATCTATTTTTTAATGGTTATTCTTTCTTTGCGTAGCACTTTTTATTCCAGTGATGCTTTCTTCCACAGTGAATTGTTGACTTTTTATGCTTTAGATTTATTAGACATGTGTCAAGTTGTCAACCTCCTACCGTCTGCATTTGTGTCCACCTTGCAAACAGCAGGGAGAAATACTTTTTTTTTCATGAACGTTCACTTCTTGGCAGTTCTGAAACAAATTTTTGAACAGTTGCTGTTCCTATTGATAGCAATAGTTTGATGTTTCAAAAAAACCAGGGTTTTATTTTCCCCTAAGTTTTTGACATGTTCTGTCATATCATATCATATCATACCCTGATGCATCAAAAACAGAAAGGGAGGGCGCCGCCCGCTCTGCTCACAGAGACCAGGAGCCTCCCGAACACCCACCCATCTGTTCCCTGCTTCCCTCCTTTTGTTCTTCTGAATGTCGGTGTTCCTCAGTAAAATGCCGGTGTTCCTCGGTAACATGCCGGTGTTCCTCGGTAACATGCCGGTGTTCCTCGGTAACATGCATTCTTGCTCCTTCTAAGATGCCACCTCTCCTCCGCCAGGCGCCCTAATCTCGGTCAGAAATCCTCTTCAGGAATTAGGGGACTGTCCGTGTCTTCCTGCTGCTGGGTGGCTGGGATTTAGATACACCCTTGAAATCAGATGCAAACAACAATAAAAAAGGGAGAATATACAAATGAAGTGAACACCCGTAGCCTCAGGCATGTGTCACCTAAAATTGCTGCAACTGTGAAAAAAAAAGCCAGCAATCAAAACGGTTCCTCTCAGGGCTTTTCCCGCCCCCGGCAGGGCTGCCAGGATCTCCTCCTGGAGCATGCTGTGACTGTGCAATGAGGCCCCAAGACGGCTCCGGGCTCCGCTCTGCCCTGGCAGCGAGTCCTCCTGGCTGTGGGACTTCCAGAAAGGGAGGCAGATAATGGCGACTCTTCCCTAGCCCCCTCCCCACACCACTGTCCCTCCCGCTGCTTCTGGTAACAAAACTGCAGCCCCAGCCGTCCTTCTTCATCCAGCTGCAGGGCCACCCTCCTGGGGACCATCTCCCCCCGCCCCCTGCCAACTCTTAGGCCCCATCTCAGGGAATGTGCCAGCCCCCTCAGGCCAGGCTTCAGGGAGCTCAGCAGGGTCTACATAGACCACAGGTGTCAGGGCCTCGCGACACTCAGTGCCTGCACTGGCTGGGGATCCCTATGAAGGAGACTGGCCACCCACACTCCTGGACAGAAAGACACAGAGGCGATGGTGGCCAGGTGATACAGGGTCAGAGTGATGGGGACACCAGCTGCAGCAGCCGGCTCTGCAGGCTGAGTGGGTGGAGGAGGATGCAGAGCACCCATGCTCTGTCCTGGGCTCAGGCTGGGAGACAGACTGAGGGCCCGTGATTATGTGGCACTGGAATTGGGCTTGGGGCTTTTCTTCTACTTTGTGAAACCTGGTCTCCCAGTCGTCCACGTCACAACCACCTGGAAAGCTCACACTCCAGTGCCCCAGGACAGCTCCTGGGTATGCCACCCACTTGGCCATGCAGGTCCCTATCCATCAAGCACTGCTGGGTATGGTCACCCATGGAGAGTGGCCTTGGTAACAGCTAACATGCAGTGTCTAAGCAAGAGAGGGTGGAAGAAAACCTACCACCTGCTGCTCGCACCCTCTGGTGTCCTGTTGTTGGTGGGGGGACCACAGCCCTGGAGTCCAAGCCTGCAGGGCAGCCCCGTCAGCCTCAGCACTGTGACCTCAGGCAGATCATCCTACAGGGCTGACCCTGGTGTCACCACCTGCACAGGGGGTTGACTGTGGTCCCATCCCCCAGCCTGCTGCAAAACCTAGACCGAGTGGCATCAAGTGTCAAGGATTTTGCACAATTGTCACCCTGAAATGCTGTGGCTGCGGCTGCTGCTGCTGCGGTCTCTCCATGGAGTGGGCTATGGGACTGAGAGCCACGGCCTCTGTCTCCAGTGAGCTGCCCTGCCGTGCACGCACCACCTCTCCTGAAGCCTGGACGCCCCTGCTGCCCCCCGCTGAGCGCACACCTACCTCCCATCACTCGAGGGCCAGGAGGAGCTCACAGCAGCTCTGTTCCCTGGAAAAGGAGGGCTTGGGAAGCAAGGGGAGGGCTCCTGAGCCTCCGTCCTGTCCACTCGTGAGCTGCCCAGGCCACAGGAACATTTCAGGTGTAGCAGGCTGCAGGATATGCGCATGTGTGTGTGTGTGTGTGCGTGTGTGTGTGTGTGTGTGTGTGAGAGAGAGAGAGAGACAGAGACAGAGATAGAGAGAGACAGACAGAGACAGAGACAGAGAGACAGAGTGAGGCGGGGGCAGAGAGAGGGAAGGCTCCTGAGTTCCCACTGCAGGCTGATGGGCTGTAAGGGTGGGATAGACTCACACCGGACCGTTTTCTGCAGAACTGTGCGGTAGAATTCTAACTAACTTGCGAACTCAGTTACCCACCGGGCCTTTCTAGCATCTCCCCATTGCTGGCCCTTCCTGCCCATTGAATTCCGATGTTTTGGATTAACGCCCTCTGGCTAAACCCCCTGTGGTCAACACATCAGTCCTAATGGATTTCTTGTCCATATTCTGGGCCCTCTGAGTGATTCCTCTGTCCTCGCCGGCCTTCTCAACACGTCCCAATTTTGTGCAACCTGGGAATTTAATGAACAAGTCTTTATCTTCTTCTGCAATAATTAACGAAGATGTTGAATAAAGCTAGACTCAGCACCCACCCCCAGGGCACCAGTGAGACCCCCAGAACTGCTTATCCTGGCCTGGGTGGTGTCCTCCTGCCAGCTCTTGGCCAGTGTGGCAGTGACATCCTGAGCCTGGGAGGAACTTACTCAGTGGTACCCAGGGCCACAAGCAGATCCAGGACTGGGACACTCACCACAGACTCTGGCCTCGGTTTCCACGTTTTAAATCGAGGCCATCGCATGCCCTCCCTTCCCACAGAAGTGGTTGATGGCCCCGTGTCTCCCAGTCCACCCTGCGCCCCATAGGTGGCACTTCCTTTCTGGCCCTGGACGCTTTCCAACATTTGTTCACAGGCCTCGGAGACCCACCCGCCTTCCCCTCAGACCTGACTGTCCCCTGCCTCCCTTCTCAGTCACAGTTCATTCTGTTGTGGCTCAGAAATCCCAGTGATGTCCTCAACTGCACTCCTCCTGCCCACGCCCCACCGAGCTGTGAGTGATTCTGGCTGGCCCTGCCCTCGGAGACAAGGGGCCTGCTTCTCTCTCATCCCTGCTGTTGCTTAGGGGCATCTCCAGCTGGTCCCTGCAGCCACACTCCCTGACCCTCACTCTCACCTCCTCACCACAGCCTGAGCACATTATGTCAGACTACTCAGCCTTCCAAGGCCTTCCCACCTGTCTAGGGGAAAAGCCCAAGTTCTTAGAGGTACTCGTTTCCATTTGCTGCTGTAACAAATGATCACAAGTGGGGAGGCTTAATTAAATACCACGGATGTATTAGCTTACCATTCGGCTGTCAGAGGTTCCACGTGGGTAACCCGCAACGGAATTCAGGTTCCAGGCAGGATGGTGGCTCCTCCGCAGGCTGAAGGGGGCATCTACTTCCTCGCCCTTTCCATCTTCCTGGGGCTGTCCACAGTCCTTGGTGCTCGACCCCCGCCTTTCCACTGTCCTGTCCTTCCTCCACTCATAAGGACCCTGTGACAACACTGACCCCCCCAGATAGCCTGGAATATTCCTGGGACCCTCACTTAAGCATCTGTTTGCCATTCAAGGAGAAATAATCACAGGTTCTCTGGATCAGGACGTGGACATCAGGGGAGCCATCACCCCCTTCACCAGTGGCCTTCAGAGGCCACATGATGGGGCCTGACTCCTCTCCGACCACATCTCCTGGTCTCCTGTGGTGGCCTTGGGGTGGGTGGGGCGCCTGGGCAGGGGAGGTGGTCCTGAGCTGTAGAGCTTTCCAGGTTCCCTGGGGTAGCGCCCCCAAGGTCATGCTCGACCCACCTGGCATTACCCGGAGCTGGGGAGAGGCTGGCACTGGACCTCAGCCCACGCTGCCAGCTCGCAGCTCTCGGGGTCTTCCTCTAACACCACACCCTCCCGCATTCCTTCCTCAGACCTCCACCACCTCTAAGAGCACGCTGTCTTGTCTGTCCTGCTTAGTGCTCATCTCCCCGGACAAAATGTCACCAACTGCTGGCCCCCGTCCCCAGAGCTCAGAATGGTGCCAGGGGTGCCACCAGGCGCTCGGGCACCATCTGTGGGACAGACGGGAGGGGACGCTGGCTGTGCCGTGGCTGCTGGGCAGACCGGAGCTCTCAGGAGCAGCGCGTGGCACAGGACGCTTGTCCGGCCCGCCCTTCCGTGTTGGTGGTCTTGGGTGTGTGTGACCGCATCAGGACTGCTCGGCACTGGACCCCTTCTTCAGGTTTTCTGCTGGGGAATTAAGGAAGTGAGGTGCGTGTGGGCCATCGCTCCCTTCCAACCTGACGGTGCAGCTGCAGCCTGCACCCCTCTCTGCAGAATGGCATGCGGCTCAAGGAGACCAGGAGCAAAGGATCCCTCCGAGGGGTCCTCAGGGAAGCAGGCTGCCGGGGAGTCCGTGAAATGCTCGCTTTGATTCAGGGGTGGGAAAGAGAAAGGTGTCAAACGTGGCATTAAGGCTTTCAGTCTGGACAGAGAAGATGAGAGAACAAAAGTGGTTTTTATGGGAAGGGAAACCATCATGAACCCTCAGAACTAAAATGATATTTAACATCCATTGATTACGTATTAAAGGCCAGGTGCCTGCATTAGCTCAGAATGGATGAGAAAGGCCCTGAGAGCCACCTGCAGCGAGTGCCTGAGGACCACCAGCAACCCCGGTCGGTCCCTGGCAGCAGAGGAAGAGACCCTCCTGCTGTTCAACTCTGCCTCAAGCACAGCTGTGCTCTTTGACCTTTCACCTCCTGGTGCTGACCCCCGATGACCCAGACTGTTCATCGATGACTCTGAGTCCCTAGGGACAGAGTTCACAAGACTGTGAGCAAGGGGCTTTACCACCCAGGCTCCCTCGGGAGCTATAGCATCCATCATGTTTCTCAAAGTGGGACACGATGTGTGGAGCACCCTGAGAGAGGGTTCCGTGATCAAACAGGATTGGGAAATACAGAGCTAAAAAGTGCGAACACAGTTACTTTCTGCATGAATCCTGAGAGTTTTTTTTCCCCCCAAGTGATGCTTTTAGAATGGTAAGTTTTTGTTTTTTGTTTGTTTTGAACATGGTAGGGTTCTGAACTCAAAGACTTATCAGGCCTGCTCCTCAAATAAACCTACAGCTGAACAACAACCTTCCAGAAGCTTCTTCCCCGTCAGGTGTAGGTTAGGGTCGGTGCAGACCCCAGGGTTTCCCTCCTAGTTCCTCAAGGGCCTTTGCAAATATCTTTTGTTTTATGTCCAGGAACCCCTAAAATGCATGACGTCAATATTACGTCAGCTGATGCAGAACACCAAGGTCTCACCGGCTTCTCGAGTTCCAAACAAAGCTGAGTTAGCAAGCTCAGCGGACAGTCACGTTAGATAGTGCACCAGAGAGAGTTTAAATTCTGAATGAAATACAGCTCTCCCCTTTGGTCTCACACAGAAATAAAGTCCCCAGATATAAACACTGCTGTCCTTCCCCCTCTCCACACCCATCCGTCCTTGCCAGACCAGGCCATCTGTGTGCCCAGCTCATGTCCGGTCCCTTCTTCAGCAGTTGCCCCCGGAGTGGCCTTCCAGAGCCCACACAGCTCCTTCAGCGTCCAGAGCTGGAGAAGTGCTCTGACCCGCTGTGTCCCAAAGTTCCAGGGAGCTATCAGGTCACGAGAGAAAAGCAAAGCACGTCAAAATTGAGAAGTAACCACCGAAGCCCAGGAACAAATGGGACCCTGCAGGCGCTCACAGCCTAGACCCTGAGCCAGTGTGTGACAGTACTTTCCAATGACAGTCACCTCCCCCCAACTCAAACTCACAGTGAGGCCACGGACACACAGGACAACAGAAGTGCAGGCAAGGACAGGGTGCAGCAGAGGAAACCACCACAGCTCCCTGGGGTGTCAGCAGCCCCAGCCCTGGACCCCGTCCCAGTGGCTGGCAACTGTCCACCTCCTTCCACATCAGTCATCTCCACCCATGACCCGTGCCCCCACTTCTCTGCCTTCCTGGTGATCTCCGCAGCCTCTCGCACCTACAGGTGGTGCAGGGCCCTCTCCTGGATGAGCGCACCGTCCACCTGGCATAGGCTGCCGCCTTTGCCCACGCATCCCCACTGGCCCGATGGGCAGCGCCCTGATGTCCTTGAGCTGCTCTTGCTGACCTGGGGCAGGAGCTGCTCAAGTCCTCCTAGTGCATCTCTGCATCTGCGGGAGCAGGGCAGGCCCTCTTAACCTTTCCTCTCAGAGAAGTCGCGGAAGCAGCCACCCAGGAGCAGGGGCAGCGACAGAAGGGCGGAGTCTGAATGCGCAGGGTGTGCAGCAGATCCTGAGGAGGAGGAGAGCTGCCTCCCCACGTCTGGAGGCTTCTGTTTGTCTGAATAGTCTTACATAATTTCTGTTCTCTGGAAAGCACTTTGGAAAAGACAACTTCACCTAAACAGGTATTTCCTCTGTCTCTAACCAACGCCCAACGTTTAGTTGACCCCCTGATGGGGGCATGGGAGAGGAGTCCAGCAACAATGGGGTGAGGACCTCAGCTTGGGGAGGGGTCACTCTTCCAGCCAAGAGCAGTTAGGAAGGAAGGCAGGTAGGAGGGAGGGAGGGAGGGAGGGAGGGAGGAAGGAAGAAGGGAGGGAGGAGAGAGGGAGGGAGGGAGGAGGGAGGGAGGATAGAAGGGAGGGAGGGAGAGAGGAGGGAGGAGGGAGGGGGGGAGGAGGAAGGGAGGGAGGAGGGAGGGAGGGAGAGAGGAGGGAGGAGGGAGGGGGGGAGGAGGAAGGGAGGGAGGGAGAGAGGAGGGAGGAGGAAGGGGGGGAGGAGGGAGGGAGGATAGAAGGGAGGGAGGAGGGAGGGAGGAGGGAGGGAGGGAGGAAGGGAGGGAGGAGAGAGGGAGGGAGGGAGGGAGGGAGAGAGGAGGGAGGGTGGGAGGGAGGGAGGATAGAAGGGAGGGAGGAAGAGAGGAGGGAGGAGGGAGGGAGGGAGGAAGGAAGGAAGGGAGGGAGGAGGGAGGGAGGATAGAAGGGAGGGAGGGAGAGAGGAGGGAGGAAGGAGGGAGGCAGGAGGAAGGGAGGGAGGAAGGAGGAAGGATAGAAGGGTGGGAGGGAGGAGAGAGGAAGGAAGGGAGGAGGGAGGGAGGGAGGAAGGAGGAAGGATAGAAGGGAGGGAGGGAGGGAGGAGAAAGGAAGGGAGGGAGGAGGGAGGGAGGGAGGAGAAAGGAAGGGAGGGAGGAGGGAGGGAGGAGAGAGGAAGGAAGGGAGGAGGGAGGGAGGATAGAAGGGAGGGAGGGAGGAGAGAGGAAGCGAGGGAGGAGGGAGGGAGGAAGGGAGGGAGGAGGGAGGGAGGGAGGAAGGAAGGGAGGATGGGAGGGAAGAAGGAAGGATGGGAGGTTGGGAGGAAGGGAAAGTGGGAGGGTGGGAGAGAGGGAGGGAGGGAAGGAGGAAGGAAGGGAGGGAGGGAGGGAGGAGAGAGGAAAGGAGGGAGGGAGGAGTGATAGAAGGGAGGGAGGGAGGAGAGAGGGAGGGAGGAGAGAGGGAGGGAGGGAGGGAGGAGGGAGGGAGGGAGGAAGGAGGAAGGATAGAAGGGAGGGAGGAGGGAGGGAGGGAGGAAAGAAGGGAGGGAGGAGGAAGGAAGGGAGTGAGGGAGGAGGGAGGAAGGAAGGGAGTAAGATAAATGGGTGTGTGAGAGAAGACAGATACAGGTTAAGGGAAAGAAGATGGGTAGATAGAGAGATGGATGATAGGTAGGTAGAGACAAGGGAGATTCAACACAGAGAGAACATTCTAGATACAGCTGCCTTTTAAAAGGCAGTGGAGAGCTGGGGGGACCAGGACTTGAAGCCGAGCTCCCCAGAGGAGCAACTCCAGAGAAGTGAGCTGAGAGCCGCGAGCTACTCTCCCTGGGCAACCGCACATTCTTGACCCAGGACATGAGCTGAAATCCAGGAAGGCAGCTGGAGCTCCAGACGGAGAGCCATCAGAGCTTCTCTGGTAGTTCCCCAAGGCTGGAGAACAGAAGTTGGTCTCAGGTGTGCTCCAGCTGATCAAGATTCCAGAAGAAAAGAAGATCTAGAGAAGCAAGGTCGACATTCATGGTTTTCCACTTGAGGTATTTTCCAAATTCTCAAGCTATTCGGGACAGAAAGCTCAGAAAGCAAATAAAACCGAATAACACAGACCATGACTTTTGGCCAAGCAAAAACAGTTTCCCACACAGCAAGAGAGAGATCCTATCAAATATGCCAGCTCCCCTATGGGGCTTTCGGAGAAGGACACTCTTGGAATGGAGGTGGAGAATGTTAGTTAGGGACATCCACCTGTGACCCCCAGCTAGACACAGCTCAGTCACTGCTTGCATTAAGAAGGTAGCCCCACTGTGCCTGGCACCAGAGGACAACTTTAAAGTGATTAAAACAAACAAAAAACAAATCCTAATTGCCAACCGAGAACTCCATTACTGTCATTACTCATAGACAATTTGGTCATATAAGTAAAAAAAAAAAAAAAAACCAAAATATGCAGATAAATTCAAAAAGAGAGCACAGCAAAGCCACTGGATACCAGATAAATATGTATCATTCAAGTGTATTTTTTCTATACAAGCAGCACTAAATAGAACAAAAAAAAATTCCGATGCCACATATAATAATAAACAAATGCCTGTGAGCCATAAAACTTGCCCCGTGCACATGAACACATGGGCCCAAGCAAGTTTTATGCTTCATGATTCAATCCCTCCATTTCTCTGGGTCACTGCCCACTCCTCTTCAGATCGCCAGTGTTGGGGACTTTGGGTTAGATCATCTGGCAGCTCTAAAAGTTACAATCCTCTTCCTCTTGCTCATGTATTTAGCAAAACCCGGCTGAGTGTCCACCAAGTGCTGGGCTCTGTGCTAGTCTGATAAAAACAGGTGACAAATATTTGTGGAAGGAAGGAGGGAGGGAAGGAGGGAGGGAGGGAGGGAAGGAGGGAGGGAGGGAAGGAGGGAGGGAGGGAAATAAGGAGAGAGGGAGGGAGGGAAGGAAGGAGAGAGGGAGGGAAGGAAGGAGGGAGGGAGGGAAGGAAGGAAGGAGGGAGAGAGGGAAGGAGGGAGGGAGGAAAGGAGGGAGGGAGGGAAGGAGGGAGGGAGGGAGGGAGAAAGGGAAATAAGGAGAGAGGGAGGGAGGGAAGGAAGGAGGGAGAGAGGGAGGGAAGGAAGGAGGGAGAGAGGGAAGGAGGGAGGGAGGAAAGGAAGTGAGTTGGTTGTGAGGCCCAGTCTCGGCCTTCAGGGTAGGGTGCTGCCCTGAGCAGAGGTTCTGTGGGAGTGACTTGCTGCAGTGGGCAGGAGCAGAGGCACCATGACAGGAGGAGAAATGGCAGTCTCCTTGGGGTGGGAGGGGCTCTCAGAGGTGTGTCGGGAGGCACAG